CTACTAAATGACAGAAAGGTCAGTGGTTCAAACCAACTAGCCCCTCCTTGGTAACTCTACACAGGGCACTATGAGTCAGAATCGACTTGATGTCATTTAACAACGACTTAACAATAGCTGATTTGAAAAAACAAAATGAATATATAAAATAGGAATATCAAACTAAAAACCATGTTTACTTATCAAATTTTATCATTTGTTACAAGTGATGAGTTGAAAATTAAGATACTATATAAAAATAATTGGTAGAATAAGAGATGCAGAAATGTAAAACAATTGCTTATTTTATATTCTTTGTATTTTGTTAGAAAAGCAAAGCAAATTCATTGTATAATCAGTTATTTTCTATGTGTCATTTTTTAATCTCTCTAACTCATTCTCCAGAGTTAACCACTCAATACTTATTTGTATGCTTTATTACGCATGCTCTAGCAGAGACTAAGAAATAGGCAAGAATGATGATAAGCAGCTTAATTGTAGAAAAGTAACTAATTTTTAGGCTAAATTATTATAAAACAAATATTGTCATCTTTTGAAGGAGGATTTTTCTCATGCATATTGAAGATTTTTTTGTTCTCAGTTTGCTCTTAATAGTAAAGAATATCTGCATTATTCATGATAGAAAGATGATAAAACAAGCAAATTATTATTGAATATATAGGAAGTCCTGGTATGGCACTGCAGAATAATACACTGACCTCAAGGTCAATTTGAACCACAAAGTCAGCAGTTCAAATTCACCAGCCACTCCTCGGAAACCCTATGCAAGGTTGTTATGAGTTCAAACCCACTTGATGGCACTAACCACCAAAAGGATAAGTAAGAGACTTTCATTTTCTAATCATATTCTGAGATAGGGACCTACCTTTGGAGATCTTTCATTCACAATCACAATTTTGTCTTATGTGGGAAGATAAGTTAACATAGTTCTTCAGGTTGGATGCAGAGGGCTGATATAGACATTCATGTATTCATTTGAGCACATCGTCTCAGTATTGGTTCTAATTCTGATTTCACTGCATGACTGGTCAAATTTGAATAAAGTCTATAAAGTAAAATTGGTAAACAAACTGGGGAACTAAAGGTGGATAAAATGACAAGTCTGACAAGGTAAATTTAAGTATGTATAATTCTTACCTGTTTTGCCCATATGTTGTTGTTGTTCATTGCCATAAAGTTGTCTGTGACTCATGGAGGCCTTATATAAAGCAGGTAAAAGTATATTGCCCAGTCCTGTGCCATCTTCATCAATGTGGGTATGTGCAAAAACAGTGATGCCAACCATTGCTCCCACCGCCCTCTCTACTAGGTGAGATTTGGTAATTCATTGCAGTACTTGGTTATGTGAAGTTAACAGCTTACAATTCAGGCTCAGAAACGCTCTAGGCACCATTGTTACAGTCAAGACAGCCTCTTCTCAGCCATATCCACGGGACAAACCACTCCATCATAAACTTCAGCCTGAAGGCACTTGCCTCTAGTTTTGTAGGTCAGCAAACCTATCTCCCCCTAATTAAGTGCCTGAGGGCGCCCCTTTTGCAAGCAAGTCTCCTGCCTAAAGTCATTCAGCTTTCCTTACTCTGTAGGCTTGGAGGCCTGCCACTCTATCTGGTGCTGTGGCTCTTGGTTCTGCAGCTGCTGCGATTCTGCCACTCCTGCAATGGCCTAGCTTTCTGTTCCTGGGTTGAGGAAGTTCAATGTGCAGGGATCTCGGTGTATGAAGAAAGCACTCCACTCATGACTTCCTTCGTGATGGTAGTGCACCCCACCTCCTGCTTCTGAAATGGTTCCTTTTAGGCCCGTATTAGAGTTACATGCTTTTACAATTAAAATTAACCGTTAGTATCCAACTGAATCCTATCATTCTTTTAGTATCTTCACCCACCTTTTCTTAATCAGACTCATCAGGAAAAGAGTCGTTTGGTGAAAGTTACAAAGTTTAAGAATAGAAGAGACATATGCAATAAATCATTCCATCATAATACATTTGAGCCCATTGCTGCAGGTATTCTGTGAATTCATCCCCACTGAGGGTTTCCTTTAGTTTCATTGCTCCTGTACTTTACCAGCCATGATGTTCTTTTCTATTGATTAGTCCTTGCCTGAAGATGTGTCCAAAGTAAATCAGTTGAAATATTGCCATATTTCCTTCAGAGGAGCATTCTGGTTGTATTTAAGACTGTCTTGATCATTCTTTTGGCAGTCCACAGTACAGATATTGGACTGCCAAAGTAATTTTGCCCACATGGTCATACTAATTTTTATTCACTTGAATTCAGAATTTATAAATCAGAGTATACCAGAAAGATTTACCTGTGTTTTTGTGTTTGTTTTTTTTTAACTATGCAAAGACATTCAACTGGGCAGATCATAACAAATTATGGAAAACATTGTGAAGAATGGGAATTCCAAAACACTTAATTGTGCTCATACAGAAGTTGTACATATACAGAGACAGTTATTCAAACAGAATAAGGGGATACTGAGTGGTTTCAAATCAGGGAAGGTATGTCAGACAGGATTGGATCCCTTCATTGAGAAAATAACCCAAGATATTCAATGATATGCTGAAGAATTTGACAGCAGAAGAGGAAGACTCATTAACAACCTGTGTTTTGAGATGACACAACCTTGCTTGATGAAATTACAGGACCTGCAGCACTTACTGATGCATCAAGCACTCCAGCCTTCATTATAGATTACACCTCAGCATAAAGAAAACAAAAACCTTCACAATTGGATCAAAAAGCAACAACATGGTGAAGTTGTCAAGGGCTTCATTTTATTTGGATCCACAATCAATGTTCATGGAAGCAGCAGTAAAGAAATAAAATGACATATTGCGTTGAATAAGTCTGCTGCAAAATACCTCTTGAAAGGTTAAAAAGCAAAGATGTCACTTTGAGGACTAAGGTGAACCTGTACCAAGTCATGGTATTTTTCAATCATTTCATAAGCATGCAAGAATTGGACAATAAGTGTGGAAGACTGAAAAAAAATTGATGCCTCGGAATTATGGTGTTGGGGAAGAATATTAACTATATCATGCCCTGCCATATATATATATATATCCTTAGAAGTGAGGATAATGAGATTTTTGTCTCACATAATTTGGACAGGTTATAAGGAAGGACCCATTTCTGGAGAAGGACATCATTGCGTGGTGAAAGGTCAGTGAAAAGAGGTAGACTATCAGTGAGATAGATCTGACCCAGCGGTTGCAACAATGGACTCGAACATAGCAACTATTGTGAGCGTGGTCCAGGTGCATGCAGTGTTGTACGCAGGGTTGTTATGAGTCAGAACCGTCGTTTCTCTCGTACCTAGTGTAGTTGCTGCTCCATAAATGAGTGAATTGTTGTTGTTGTTAACTGATGTCAAGTGGGTTCCGACTCATAGCGATCCTCTATAAATAAGGTTTCTGAGGAGCTGCTGGTGATCTTGAACCACTGACCTTGCAGTTCAAACCGACCTCACAGTCTAGTGCATTAACACACAATGCTACAACAGGAGTTAGAAGTGTATATTTACATGTATAGAGTTGATATATGAATTAATGTCATTTATTAAAATATCTCCTACTGAGTGAACGTCTCCTGAATAAACCATTTTACCCTCATTACAGCTACTATAAGAGCTCTGTAATGCTGTAGATTACAAATTGGGCTGCTAATTGTAAGGTCAGCAGTTCAAATCTACCAGTTGATTTGTGGTACAAAGATGAGGCTTTCTGTAACTGTAAACACTTCTAGCTTCAGAAACCCTGTACCGAGTCACTATGAGTCAGAACCTACTCAATGGCACCCCCCCCACCATCAGAGGAACCCTAGTAGCACAGTGGTAACAAATTGGACTGCTGCTTGCAAGGTCAGTTTGAAGCCACCAGCTGCTCTGTGGGATAAAAATAAGACTTTCTGCTCCCATTAAGATTTTGGCAACCTTATATAAGGTTGCTATGAATTGGAACCCACTCGATGGCCCACCACCACTATCATAGCTACTATATGTACATAAAAACATGAACAGGGCATTGAATTTAACATAGTGAATAAATTAGATGTCATTGTTGTGAAGTGCTGTCAAGCAGATTCTGACTCATAGCGACCCTGTATAGGGCTCCCTGTATAGGGCCATTCATGGGTTTGAACAGCAGTCCAATGCTTAACTTACAGTGCTACACTAGGGCAAATTTTTAAATTTCAAATAGTCTTGATTGTATTAGTTTGAATAGCTCAGTTAAAAAGGCAGGATTCAAATGTTAGGTTTTATTATTTATCAAAGGCATTTTGAGCTTTTAATAAAACCTTTACATACAGGTTTTGTGAAACAATTATTTGCAAAACACAGTTCTACTTTTTTCAATATATAAAAAACATAGTGCATATTATACTGAAAAAATCATTTAAAATAATACTATAATCTCAACATTTAAATCTTTCTCTATATTTTAAAATTACTACTCAAAAATTTTAAAGCTGTATAATGCCTACATTTGAGAAATGTACAGTAGTAATTAGTTATTCCCAATTAATTTAAAATTAATTCCAAAATTATTATTATTTCAGCCATAGAAAGTCTGCTGAAAATCTGAATATCTAAATAAAGAATTTAGGGCATTTAGATCTGATTATACTATCATTCTCTTTTGACAGCTTGAGTTTACATATTTTGATATTTAGATAACAAAAATACAATATAGTGTGTTTGTGTGTGTTTTTTAATTTCCTAATCAGAGGAAGAAAGGCTTGCATTTCAATAGTAAAATAAACATAAACTAACATAAACACATTTTTGCAGTTTTTAAACAATGTTGAGTTGGGCTTTCTGTCATGTCATTATTGCCTATATTTCTTTTGAAGAAAACAATAATGCTAAATACTGTAATTTCCAGACATTTCTACATCTCTGTAAACTAACTTTTTCAGTAGCATCACATAAAACAGTAATAAAATTATCAGGAATTTTTTTTAAGAATCACATAGGTTATGGAGACTTTTTTCTTATAATTTGATAGCTGCTCTGAGTTTTGCTGAGCGCCCTCTGGGGTTGTCCTGCACATCTAGCTCTTTTGGAGTAAGCACTTTCTTGTGTATCAATTCCCACATTAAAGGAGCCCTTGTAGAGGCACCTTCCTTGTTTTCTTGACCTGAACCTAGTAACACCTTTTGTCTAGCACTTAGGTTAAACCTTTCTGTCATGCTTATGCCAAGCAAGAATCGTTTGACAATGCGATCCTCTAATGAATGGAAAGAAAGAGCAACAAGGCGACCACCAGGTCTCAAAAACTTCTCAGCTGTCTTGAGTCCTGTGTAGAGCTCATTGAGTTCATTGTTCACAAATATGCGAAGAGCTTGGAACGTCTTGGTAGCAATATGAGTAGAACGCTGGAGCAAGTCTTTTCGTGCATAAGTAGCAGAGGTAGGAAATGCACCTAGGAAGAGATTTAAAAAAAAAAAAAGAAGACAATAACATTACTATTTTCCACTGTATTATCTACTAGTTTGTGGTGTGTGGATTTTTGAAAAATTTAATTTTGCTGGAAAATTGTGGCAATTCGTTCATGTTTCCTCCTTCTATTTACAATCATTCTACCACGGTTTAAAACTATGTGTCAAAATATCTTTCACATTTCACATGAATCTTTGGATATGAACAAGAAGTGAAAGAGAAAGGGGCAGACACATATTTAAATAAATAATAAACAAAAACTCCCAACTTTGGTGAAAAACACTAATTTACAAATCCGAGAAGCTCAATGAATCACAAACAGAATAAACAAAGAAAGCTACACCTGGCACATTATAGTCAAACTGGCATATGACAAATCCTGAAAGCAGCAAATAAAACAAAGTATTGGAAAAGAACGAACAGAAATCTGAGCATAATGGAGACTGGGTGATGCTCAGATGACATATTCAGAGTTTTGAGGGAAAAAAATGTGTTCCAAAGCGGAAAGATATTTTCAAATAAATAAAAACTGAGAGAATTTTTAACATGTTTGGATCTGTAGCCACGAAATGTTAAAGGAAATATATCGGACTTTAGTTAAATGACACCATATGGAAATTTGGACCTAGTGAAAGGATAAAAGAGTAGCAGATAGGTAGCACATATAAATGACTTAACAAACGAAGCCAGTTGCTGCTGAGTCGACTGAGACCCTTGGCAAGCCGGAGTGTAGCAGAGCAGAACTGTGCACCATCAGGTTTGCAAGGCTGTGGCCTTTCATGAACAGATAGCAAGATCTGTATTATGAGTTGCTTTTAGGTAGGTTTGAACTGCCAAACTTACAGTAGTTGAGTGTTTAACCATTTAAAATATATATTTAAATACATATGTTCTCTATAATACATAATATTTATACAATGCATTACACAGATCTATATTTTACATATAATGTTTAGCAAAGTGTTGATTAGCTACTCCTGGCTCTTTAAAATTATAAGAGCCTAATAAATATGTGTATGATATTATTTATATATATATATATATTTGAATTAGTGAATATGGGGAATGTTAAAACAACAAAATCTCTGAAATCACCATAGAAGTTCTGATATAACACACAACATTGGTTCATTTGTCATGACACACCACGGTAGACGTTTAATGTTTACAAACTAAAATGGCACCTGACTGTGGCAGCAGGAGAGACAACATTTATAATTTACTCAGTCAGCTAACTGTGAAATTATCAAATTCCTAATCCTTTTTGTTTAATTTGAGGAAATTTGATTTCATTTCAAAGCATGCAAAGTGAGACTTTCTTAACATTTGTATCACAGTTTCAAAAACCATAATTTATACTCATCTTTAAATATATTTCATGCTATATGTCAATTTGCAGATGGCATATTAAACATCACTGCAATAAGACAAGCTTTTCCTGATAAATTCTAATTATGGCTTCTCAATGTTGTGAAGTCACAGGTAAAGAAGAGTTTTCATTATATTTACAAATGGGTGATTTTGATTATAATAGGATAACTTTAATCCACAAATAAGTGTCATGAAGCTTTTCTTCTAGGGTTTCTCTTATTATTATTTTGAAAATCAATGAGTTCTTGGAAAAAAAAAAAAATCTAGGTATGGGCTTGTTAACTTCCTCAAGTCCTGTCTTTAGGACTAGGAGATGATAGGGAGCTCTTTGATGCTGTTCTGGGGATCAAAGACACATATTTTCCCTCATTTTAAACCACCAGTCCCCTGTGAGTTGGCTTAACTCATGGTGATCCCTTGAATGTTAGAGTAGAACTTGCTCTATAGGGTTCTCAACGGCTGAATTTTTGGAAGAGAGTCACCAGGGCTTTTTTCCCTTATTCAGGAGCTCTGGTAGCGTAGTGGTTAGGAATTGGGCTGCAAACCCTATGGTCAGCAGTTTGAAACTACCAGCTGTTCCGCAGAAGAAAGATGAGGCTTTCTGCTCCCGTATAGATTTACAGCCTCGGAAACCCTGTACAGGGTCGCTATGAGTCAGAACCGACTCCACGGCACATAACAACAACAATAAGTATTACTTCCTTTATACGGGCACTTTGTGTATGTGATTTACAGGAAAAAAAAAAAAAAAAAAAAAAAAAAATGCAGATTATGTAAACTGAGTTTAAAAAGAAATATAACACAGCATGTGTAATGGAAATTAAATAGTATTAAAAGCAAAACAGAACATCAACTTCCAATGGTCTAGACAGATGAGACAAAGAAAAATATCCTGTTCTGAAGGATTAAGTTGTTGTCAAGTGCCATCGAGTCGATTCCAATGCATAGCCACCCTGTATAGGGTTTCTAAGGAGAAGCTGGTGAGCTTGAACTTTGCCGTTCAAATGACTTTGCAGTCTGACGCATTAGCCCATAGCGTCACACCAGGAGCTTAAGGGCAACAAGTAAGTGGCTGAGGCAGTAAAAATGAATTTCCTTGTGGAGATGACTGGTCAGAGATCCAGAGCCAGAGTTCTCTTAAGGTATGTACAGACTACATAAACTATCTGTCTAAAAGTTATCAGGAAAAAGGCTTCGACCATGCCACCAAATGGTGTACCCATGGTAGACTCTGAATTAGGACACAGACAGAAAAGTATTGAGACATGGTCGCTGCCCTTAAGGGGTATAGTATCTTCCACTTTTCTTTACTTCCTTCCCATGTTCCATATCCTGTTAGCAGAAATGGAAAGTAAGCTTTTTGCTTTTCCATTTCCTGACTTTAATCACACAGTCTGGTATGGCTAATTGAGTTGATTAGGGCATAGAGTAAGTAAGGAAAAAATATGGACTCAATCACAATTTGGATCATTTGGTTTGGTGAAAGGAAAGCTCCTTTTTGTGTTTTTTACAGTCCATTAATGAACTTGGTTAGCACTGGACCGGGCTGTATGAGTTCAAGTGGGAAGAGGTGCGCTTACCCCTAGTAGAGCTCTTACCACACTCTATTGTAATGACCAGTTTACTGGTCTGTATCATTCACTGGACTCTGATATTGCAACTAGGAACTACTTTGTGTTCATTCTTATGCCAACACGGCCTGCACATCAGAATCACCTGTGGTGCATTGAAAAAGCTAGATACTGACTCCAGTCCAGACCCGTTGAATCAGACTTTGGGGGGCTTAATATCAGGGAATCATTACTTTTGAAAATGTTCACAAAGGACTTTGATGTGAAGCCCAGATTAAGAATCACTACTAACTGAGTAAACAGTTAATGTTTATTTAAAAGATAATGCTTAGATATAGAATGAAAAAAAAAAGTAAATAAATGGTCAAATAAAAATCTAGGACTATTATTACAGTTTTATTCAGAGCACTGGGTGAAAAACCCAATATTGAGTCAGATCACATAATATTTTTAGCCACATTGTGAATAAAACATTGTTAATAAAAATTTAAAATAATGTCATGGAACAGGCCACAATACGATATGCTACTTTTGGGCCAAATGTGATTATGGATATTGAATTATGATTTTAGTGGAGCTATTGAAGTCTCAAATTTGCTAGCAAATTCACTGTCCCATTATAAATGATTGCATGTATTTAATTATACTTGACAGTGACTGCGAATCTCCTTAATTAATCAACCATTCACACATGCACTGGAGCACCTGCAAATAATTTTAGTGTCAGCAAACATCAGCTTGCAAGCCTTAACTCTCTGAAATATAGCAAATGTGCAAGATAATTATTTTCCATTTTACTTTTGTAGAATGAGGCCTGGGAATGTATGGCAACATTGGCAAATTTATATTTCAAAAAATTTCTCAGAAGTCTTAAGTGGTTGTGATTATTATTTTATTATGAACTGAGTGATAGTTTCCATGGGAGAACATCGGCTTCACACCATTGTTTCATTGCAATGATTACAATCTCCTCTGTACATCATCATTCAACAGCATTTGCTTCCATTCCCTCTGGTTTTTGTTTTTTGGGGTGAGGTGGGGTGGGGAGATGTACACAAAACCACTCAGGAACATATAATAATTTAAACAACCAAAGGGCACATCCTGCAAGCCTGCCTCCAGGCCGTCAGCACTCTGTCCCTCACTTTCCACAAGTCTAGAGTCCTCAGCAATTCCCTCTCTCCATGTCCCCATCTTTGCCTCTATCTCTGGTGTCTCTGCTTCTCTGAATAGGGTCCCACATTACACTTGTGGTCTTCACCCTTGATGGTTCTAGGGTCCTCTGTTTCTGGAAAGTAAGATTAACTACGCCCCTGTTTTTGTTACAAAACTTCTACTTTTACGATTGTGACAGTCAAAATTAGACATGATAACAATTATTCACTATTGAATCATACAAATTTTATCCCTATCTCGTTTCACCAGACCTGTCTAGATAAGATGAACATTATTCAGCAGGGACTCTATCTTCCCCCATACACTCTTAAACTATACTCCCTGTTGGAAACATTTTAGGTGGCCAGTGTCTAAGTTGCCTGTCCCTATCTACCCTGTGTACAGAGGGGAGAGTATTGATACTTGATATGAAGACTCCTTCCCTCTTTGTTGGTATTTTGAGCAACTACATCCATGAGTATAAGTCAAATTCATCAAATTGTAGAAATTTACCCTCATTTCCTATATAAAAAAAAATTTTTTTTTTGAATCCCCCTCTAGTTGAGTTCTGATTATCAAGCCATCGAGGCTAGGTCAAATGGGTACTATCAGCAAGTTTGGGTGTTCTTGTGCGTCTCCCCTCACTTACTATCAGCTGGATGCTTCTTAAGTGATTAGTTTTGGTTCAAGGTTTTTTTCCATCAAACATTAATGCACAATATAGTAGAGATTTTACATGAGCTTTATTTCGTTTAACACATATGAAATCCTAAACCACAAAAGTTATCTCAGTACAAAAAATAAAAAAACCTGCTTTACTCTGAATAAAACAGCAAAATAGCAGTCAGTAAAAATGACTAAAAAGGCAATTACAGGCTTCAGTGCA